TATATATATATAATTTATTTTGCCATGTTATTTACCTGTAAAAGCCTCCTTCCCTTGTACAGACATCCAAAAGCTCTGAGACTGCTGCTGGATGTTGCCAGCATGGATGTGATGTCTACAGCCCAAGCTGTCTCAGAGCTGTCACTCAAGTGGCTCTGTATAGTATTCACTCCCCTTCTGGCAGCTACATGAAAGTTTATGTAGGAAGATAAAGGGAGGAGCTGGGCCAACACACACAGTAATTAGACTGCCCCACAAGAGGAGAGTGCTGTGACATTTATGGAAAGGAAAAACACTGCAAGTAAACATTTACTATACTTGATTTTTTTGTTTTTACCTGCAATCTTTTAGACTGGTGACAGGTTCTCTTAAAAGAGTACTTCATCTTGGGTAAGTGCTTGTTGAGTGCTGAGACACTGAGACCCCTCTGTGTATTTTCCAGGTGTGGGAGGATGTGGAGACCCTGGTTCCATAACCCAGTGACATCAATGCCGGCACAGCAAACCTCTAACAGTATATTGCAGGTAATTACCAAAATAGGCTTCCTGTAACATTATATCATTCTACTTTTATGTATTATTGTACGGGGAAAAAGTTTGTAATGCCACAATCTCTCAGTCCTCTGAACAGACCATATCATTGATAGTGTTATCTCTTGTGCATTGTATAATTGTACCAACACAGACATGGGGGGAATTTATCAAAACTGGAGCAGACAGAATCTGGAGTAGTTGCCCATGGCAACCAATCAGCTTCTCTCGTCAGTTTGATCAGTTAAGCTTTGAAAATGAAAGAGAGAAGCTGATTGGTTGCAACTGTCAACTGCTCCAGATTTTGTCTGCTCCTGTTTTGATAAATCCCCAGATACGCACAGACATAAGCCTGTCTGATGTAGCCCATCACATTGCACATAGACACAACTGTGAGATGACACTGCTTAGAAAAAGTAAGAATCACACCTGCAGTACACACATGGAGGCTTCAACACTTTAGGGAATATAAGCAGAATGCTATTGCTAGCTCTGTCATGCTAAACCTCTGACTTTAGTACTTATGGAATTGCTGATCTGGAAAAGCATGCAGCAAGTGAAGTCAGAATTGCAGATCTTCATACTCAATTCGGGTCTGTAATACAGACTGTATTAAAGCTACTTGATGTTGCTCCAGACATCTCCAACATCTTAGTAAAGAGCAATACCCTGCAACAGGGGTGTCAAAGTTCTTATATCGCTTCCCCCTTGCAATGTTCATATTTATATTTCTCACTTTTTTTCTAAGCATTGTTATCATCATTTTTCATAGGTGCTAATATCAATGATATGTTTATTATATTATGGGTGACTCCTGTTATCCCTTTGTGACTTAAGAATTGTCTCTCTTCATTCTTTAGTCACACAGTGCAAATCAAGGAGCCATCGCTGACAAAGCAAAGCTGCCGGACTTTCAGCACCCTGTAAAGTAAGTACATGCATGTATACAGATCCCAACATGGGGCTGAATAAAAGAAGTTCTATGTGTGTGTGTCTGGCTTTAGTGACTCACCTCCACAAGGACTTCATTTAATTGCAGGGCTTCATGTAGTGCACTTGTGTGCAGTAACTAGAAAAATAATCAGGAGTCAATATTAATTATTCTGAACATGGTGCCCATTTATAGCTGATCTCCGATTGTATGCTCAGGGATAAGACACGTCACTTTGCAAATATCAGATGTGCCTCAAACATACTTTTCAGTAAGGCAAATGGCCATCTACAACATACAGTAACCCATAGCAACCAGCAAGGGCCCACATTTAATTAACCTGTCTTCATTACACATGGTTGCTATGGATTACTGCACTTTGCACTGCTTTGTTAATAAACCTGCTATAATATACAATACATTCCAGCGTGATGTCTGATTGCTCTGAACATTTTTCACATGCACCCTATATAACATGGTCCTTTTTTGTCTCACTTTTCAGGTTGTTCTGGCCCAAGTCAAAGTGTTATGATTTTCTGTATCAGGAGGCCGAGGAACTGCTGAGGAACTTCCCTGTTCAGGCGACCATCTCCTTGTATCAGGAATCAGACAGCAGTGCTTCTGAGGATGAGGAATTCATGGACAATTAAAGCCGTTCAATGTATAATGTTGTAAGCTGTCATCAGGGATGTATAGTTCTGGTCCTTGCGGGCCATTATCTCACCAAGTTGTAACAAAGCCAGTACCTGAGTACTGTGTATATTGTAAATAGTTATGGGAACATATGAAAAGCAGGATGTGTGCGTATGAAGATGTTGCTTTAAAGAACATCTCTGAGCATCAACTATGCTTAGGGTCACATGATCTGTGCTACGCATTTTCCATCCCTTCTCCTTTTGTGAGGGATAGCAGGTGGGACTGTGAAAACCAATAAATATCAGGATCTGGGATTCCCAGTACAACAGATTACTGGCACAAAGCAGTTTTAATTTGTGGAATGGCCTGGCACGTAACTGCTGTACCTACAAAAGAAGCAGATGCCCGAGGCATGTAAACTGTGTTGTCTGTTTCCCTTTCAAGACTTATTTTTCACTTTTGACATTGTACGTTTTCAGCAGATCTTGACAGCTAATGTCTTGAGGGCTACAGCATATGCATATTGTTATTTCTCATTTGCAGTTCCTCACTGATGTATGAGTCTATAAAGCAGACATTCTGATAGTTGCCATGATGCCCAGTCAAAGCTGTCATTAATGGACGGCAGCACTCCCTGAAAGCTGTCTCTTACTTACCATCCTTTCATTCATTCAAGAGGTCAATTTTCCTATCCAAAAAATAATGAAATATATCTCCATAAAGTAATGTTTTGTAATATACCAAGACTCTTTGCTGTTCTTTACTGAACTAACACTTTAATGTGTTTTCCTTACTGAAAGAATTTTGGATGTTTGTGTTAGTAAAAACTCTGGGAATAAGAAATATCTTATCTGTGAATGTCACAAATGCTGTCATCCTGTATTACAATGGGCCCACGTGTGCCAGTTATGCAAGCTAAGCCCATATGCCTGAATTGTAAAGCTGCACTAACATCGTACAGCAGACTGTGGTGGAAAAACAAACACATTATTGGTAATATAACTTTCCCTGAGGTGTTGTCAGTGCTGTCTTCTTCCACTGCTGGAACATAGCAGTCCTTCTCTCTAGAACTATTCAGAACCTTGTAGGTGCCAACACAATGTATGCAGCTGATCCACAGCAAGCACTTTCTGCCTTCAATGTGAATATATATACTAATTTATTTCTTTTGTACTATGCTGTAAAATATTATTTATAATAAAATGTAAAATGGTTAAGTCTACTAGTTATTTTTGCTTTAAGAGACTATAATGATGTTAGTAGTAAAAGAAGAGCAACAATGAAACTTGGAGAGACCCAGCTTTGCATGTCCTTTCTTTCTTTTCCATGAATTTGTATTAGTTTTAGTAGGAAACACAAGACACGTGTGTCAATAGGTCACATGCATAAATAGGCAACTTAAAACAAGCATTTGTAATTGTCAGTGATCAAGAAATCAGTATGGGCTACTGTGATCCATATAGGACAAGTTTATAGATAAGAACGGGTGCAAGGTGACCCTGTTGGTACAAGATATATTGATCAACATTACCTCAACTTGTGCCTGCAAGAGTCAAAGAGAAAATTAGGAACAAGAACAGGAAAATAGGAAAACAAATGAGAAAGAACCAGGAGGGGAACAGAAGAAAAGAGGAGGGGAGGTGGAGGGGAACTTGGGATGGTGCGGACTTGTGGGGTAATTATTCCGTAGGACCTGTGTGTAGTTTATTATTCGCACATCCTTTCTTCTTTCATAGAGTTCACTAATTATACCATTGATGAGAAACTTAGCACATCAACAATCCAAGAATATATTTGTAATTTAATTGATTGCTATTCGAATATGACACTAGTGTGTATAGTATGTACATGTCTGTATGACCGTTGTAAAGCTAAAGCATTCTATCCTAATATAAAACCATTACTTGCACCCCAGTTCCACTTTCCTGTAGAACACCCTAAGAGCCCCAAAACCCACAGAGACCTGTTATGCAAATAGGAACCAGATACTGTTGCCACAGGCTCTGACAAGGTTTTTTGTAAATCCCACACAGTTGTATTTGCTCATCAGGTTGTCCCTTATCGGCCACCAGTCAGGTGCAAGGTGCATTACTAGTAAGATGATTCAAATTGTGGGAACTTGGAAGTTCTGGCTATGCAACATAAATGGCAGATTCATTATATACATTTTCGTATTGGATGCTATTTAATGTGATGTTTTTTATTAGCCCCTAAAATAAAGAGAGCACTGAGAGGCTTGCAGTAGCGCAAAATAATGTCCGGTACCATGCAACTGTAAAAGGCTTCAGTATATGAGCCCATTTTTTGGGATGTTATTCTATATTAGAAAAGTTGACAATGTTTCCAGTCAGCACTCGCAGAAGTTTACATGTCATATCAAGGCGTGCAATACTACAGTTCTGTAAATGATTTGACATATATTGTTTCGGCTGTTATTTTGAAATAATAGTAAAAGTAGTGCAAGTGAGTGCAGAATAAATGTAGGGTTGAAAAGTACATATACTGTAGACTCAATGGGGAACATTTATCAATAAAGAATTGTGACAGACACATTATTTAAACAAATAAATAAGGAAATGTATTAAGCTCATGCAGATGAAGTGATCATTGGTAAATACAGCTAAATGAAATAAAAAGGTGTAATTCAAACACAATTTCCTTCTTTCCACCTTCCAAAATTGTACTGTTCTGGTAACATTCCAAAACCAATATATGACCTCATCAGTAGATGGTGGATGAGGCAGGATGGTTAATACATTTTTAAACATGTTATTACTTCCCATTAAAGTATTAATAGAGGTGAGAAATGATTTATCAAAATATATTTGATAAATATGATTATATATTACAACTCAAGTGCCAGTTAAATACAGAATATTACAGCACAAACACTGGTCAAATTTAATTGCGCAGGCAAAAGTTGTGAAAAGATAAAAAAGGAAGAAGAAAAGGGACAAATTACACTGAAACCTTTTTTTAACAGAATTGAAAACTCTGGAAAACCAAAAAGGAAAAATTGGTGTATTAATAAATGTGGATATAAATGGTAGCTAGGGATGAGCTCAGGTTCAGGCAGAACCCAGTCTGAACCTGAGCTCCTACAAACATGACCGTCCAATCAGTTGCGGCCGGGGAATTCCCCACCTCCAGCTGCATGTAATCAAAGGGGCTGATGTCATTGACCTTATATGGCCACGTGGCTATATTTGGTCAATGGCATTGACCTAATATGGCCATATGAGGTCAGCGCAAGCATCCTGCCCCTTTGTTTATGTGCAGTTGCATGGCAGGGAATTACCTGGCTACAGCTCATAGGACAGTTGTGTCCCTATGCTGCTTCCAGGTTCAGAGGAGCTCAGGTTCGGACTGGCTTCAGTCCAAACCTGAGCTCATCCCTATAGATAGAAATACAGATCCTCCATCAGGTTTTTATTTCTGTTTGCATTGCCATTGGTAAGATATCACCTTGCCTCTGGTTCTGGTAGCACTAAGGGCTTTCCTGTGAGCCTAAACTTCCTGTTTCCTTTCTCAGGAGTATACTCTTCATATATTCCTGTATATCATATTCTATGGAGCCATTAACACTGTCACCAGCCCCTAATGATTCTCCAATGGAGAATGGTCTCAGAGAGGGGAAACAGGACATGTAGCATACATGAGGGGAAATCTTTCAAAATGAGAGACAGACAGTAATAAAAAGCTAATTAAGAATTCCCCCCTTCCCATTCCATAGCATAAAAAGGTGTTGGTTGGGTTCCTCTTTAAAACATACAAATGCTTTTTTGTTTTCTCGCCATTCTGTGAATCATGCACTACACAGAATTGTGCCTGCACGAGGCTTTATCTGCACAGAATTAGTACTGTGCAAGGTATATGTTGAAGCACAATCTATGATTATTCACGCAGAGCCAGTGCTGCATGAGATGAGCTCAACTCACATAGCACATTTCTGTTACCCTTCAGGTTTCAAACAACTTTATTGCTCAACACTGACACTCCAACCCGAATCTTCCACTTTTGTATTTTGCCCCCTAGTGGAGCTTAATTACCCACCAGGCGGGTAAAATGCATAAGAAAACGGAGTGGGTTAGGGTGTCAGTGTTCATGCTGGAACATGCACAATAAAGTTGTCTTTAGACTAAATGAGAACAGAGTGTGGCCTTGTATGTGCTAGGTACGTCTGGAGGGGGGCAATGAAGCCCGGAACACCTGTACCTGTGATTGGATGGAGGGGCCGGAGGGCCCGGAGTGGTATACAAAGTTACTGAACTACAGAGGAGCTCAGCTGTTTGATGCCAATGGCTTGATTCATGCTTTTTCCTGTTGCATGCATTATTTATATCCCAAAACACATTATTAGTGTGCACTTCCCTGGATTTCGGCCAGTATAAACATTGCATTTTACTACCACACTATTTTTATGTTTTCTCAGTACAAAGTAGAATATTAATAAATACAAAAACGATATTTGATAAAACTAACCCCACTTTGCCCCATTCTAATTGTACATGGTTCTGAAAAGTTCTCCTATAATATATTAGGTGCCAGTCCGAGTAGATCTGTAGATCCACAAAGTATGGATTTAAAATACTTTATTTGTCAATGTATGTGAAGTGGGTATCAAGGAACCGACCTGGGTGAAAAAAAAATGTTTTTGCCCATCTGTCACCATAAAAACAAGCACATTCTCGTGTTGGGGTCAAGAAGACCCTAAAAGGAGCCCTGCTTTAGGGCCATGTCACCAG